ATTTTAGGTGCACTCATAAATTTGATCAAGGTTGTCAAGCAAACAAACAGGTGCAAAGAATTCAAGAAAATCCACCACTATTTAGGATCACTTATTATGGTCATCACACTTGCAAAACTTGTCCTAAAGTTTCTCAAATGATATGTGATTCTCCAAATGATCATGAAGATTCTAATTCAGTCTTACTTAACTTTAATTCTACCAATAATAATTATAAAAATCATCACCATTTTTTGGGTATGATGGTGGAAACTGTTGATTTGTCTTTTGAATTTTAAACATACATATTGGGCTTTAATTTTTTTGGAGGGGAGTCTTATTGGATCAACGGTATAAAAGTTGTCTCAAATAATTTATAAGTGATAGATTCGAATAGTGAAAGCAGCTATTGTTACTGTAGTAGAATAAGTTGTTGACATTACATTCCTTGAAGTACAATCCTTTTTCATGACGTACCTTGTGTAAACTTTAATATGTATTTTTTCGTGTAGATTGTTGATTGTGGGGGTGGGGTGGGGTGGGTTAATGGAATTTGTGTAAATATTTTGTATAATGTTATGTACTTTGGAATGAGAATAATTTTGGCTACATTTATATATAATTCCTTTTCCTTTCGATCTTAATTTTTTTCTCTAACAAAACTTTTGTCTAGTTTAGTTTAGTTATTGTTTATCATAGGAATTGTTATTATTTTTATTATTATAGTGTGGATAAATTTCACATGACACTTTAAGTTGCATACCATAGGAGAAGGTTAAAGACCGAAAAAAATTTCTTATCTAAAGGTAGTTGCTACTTTAGTCTAGACATCAATCCATGAAAGTTTTCAAGGAGAAATTTTCGACTTCATTACATTGAGTTACACGTATATAAGTCTTTTATTTGTCTATAGTTCATATATATATGCAAGGAATAAGTAAACATTTGAGTATTTTGATATGAAATAAGAACTCAATAGAAAGATAATTGCATTCTATATTAAGCGTCATCAATTCAATTTAATAGAAAAGAAGAATATTTCATTCATGCTTTGCTAGAAATAGCAAATTTGTACAAGTTCTCATCCCAAAAAAGGGCCAACACAGAAAAAGAAAGAAAAATTCAAAGCACTTATGTTTTAAATCTATCTCTCGGATTTAGCCATGTTCCAGGCATTAAGAGCCTCAATTTTGACTGTTTCGGTACCATTGTTGAAAGCAAACAAATGTGTGTCTCCATAGATGGCTAATGATGGATAAACTCTTGATGTAATGCATGTCTTTCCACCTTCACCGAAACTTTCAACCACTGAGTGATCAATCTGAAGAAAAAAATCAACTAATTGTCAATACGACACAAAAGAAAAATGAGTTGAAATATGATTTTTTTAGTGCATTTGATATGAAAAAATTACCAAAGAAAGTTTACCAAACTTCGTAACGACAATCTTTGTCGGTTAGATTTATATCAACATATCCAGCAAAAGATGATTTATACATCTTTTTATGATTTCTAACGCTTGACCTAAATAAAATGGCAAGGTTATCCAAATGCAAAAGTATAAAGATAATAATACTTTTCATGTTCATAATTATTTGATATCAAGAACTCAATGGCCCAACTAACTTAAATCCACATCTTATAAGATTCGTTAAACAGGCAAAGCATTCTCTATGAGTATTTTTACATTCCCAAACTTTAAATCTGAGATCTCTGATTTAGGGGGAGGGATCTCATCATAATACTTGCTGATAAAAAAAAGTGATCAAAAGACAAACCTTGAGGCATCAGAACACATGAGAACCTTGTATTTATCTTGAGTCTTAAACACTCTGAAGAATACAGGTGTATACTCTTCCAGATTTTCAGAAGACAATGTTAGAATTCCAAATGGACCAAGTCCACCTTGAACTGTCAAACCCCTAATGACACATACATCTTGGGCATAAAGATCAGCCCAACTAGGATCAAATTCTTCTGCATTTTCCAAACTTGAAAAGGAAAATGTAACTTCAACATCAACCTGTCATCATATTAAAAGTGCAAATTAGAAAGCTCCATACACGTTTTTCCAAGTTAACCTATTGTATATCATTTCACATTTTAGTTTGACTATCCAAATTCTGTAAAATTTGACCTTTCATTTTCACTTAGGAATTTTTTTTCATTATTTCAAATACTTGGGAAATTTTTTTCATTATTTCAAATGCTTTTAATTTGTTAGAATTAAAGCAGGTAATATTGAATTTGGAATTCTCAAGAATTTATTAAGATACATGTATTTAAAATATTTACATTATACAAAATTAATTTGATTCATTTAGTTATATATTTATAAGTCTATATTCGATTTTACAAATTTAATTACTCTTTAATCTAGATTTTCTTTTTTCTACCATGTAGTAATAGTCGGGGAAAATGTTATAGGTTTAACAATTTCAAGTTTGCATAAGCCTGATTTGAAAATAGTTTTGACGTTTTTTTTAAAGAAAAAGTGGAAATGGAGTCAACAATAGAATAATAAAAAAATAAGGTTGATATTGTTGTTATTAAATTTAGGAACAACTGGAAATTTAGGAATGATATAGTCAATCAAAAAATAAGGTTAAGATTGTTGTTATAAATTTTAGGAACCAATCCAAAATAATAATAAATGTTAATTGAACAATGTGTTTTTTCTCCTACAATTGTGATTGACAATGTATGTTTTTCATTTATTTTTTAAATCGGATTTACATGAGAGATGAGATCACACATGGTTAAAAAGTTGAATGAAATATTTGAAAGATCAAATAACACAAATTCAAAGTATTTTCTCTAACCATTTAAATTTGAAGATGAAATCACATCAAGGGTGACTCATTAAATTAGTAGCGTAATACTAATTCTAATAAAACACTTCAATATTTTAATAGAATTATGCAAATAATTAGTCACTTTTTTTAATTCAAACTTATTGTATGTTATGTAGTAGTTTTACGAGGTATAATGATTTTAAGTTTATAACAAAAATTTAATAGTAATAACAATATTAGGCTTATTTCAAATTAATAAGATGTTAACCATATGTTTATTATTAGTAATATGAAGATATAAGTAGTTTAATTCAAAGTCTAAAATATTTTTACGATTGAAAAAAAAACAATCTTTCTTTCCTTATTTCTTTTATAAAGATTTAATTCAACGCTTAAAACTAATTCATAAGACGTGAATTGTTTAAACCATATAAGGGGACAACACCTTATTGATCAACCATTGTGGGACATACACTTTAACACAACTTGGAATCCAACATTAGGTAAACCAATTATAAAAGATGAATACCATGTTAAAAGAATAGATTGTTGACCAGCTTACTCAATCGTAAAAGTTAGTTCTAGAGGTGAAGATTTGTCAAGATCATATAAAGAAAAAATACTTCATTTTCGGAACGAGTGTGAGATATCTCACAATGTGTATTGCATTATGCAATTCTAATAGCAAATAATTTGAGGACGAGATGGGGGGGAGGGGTATTTATGAATGTGGAAATAATCTGGGGAGATATTGAGAGAAAGTAATAGTATTTACTCAAACACTATAGTGAAAGTGTGTTGAATCTAGAACAGACAGTAAACTCCTTTATAATGGACGTTTTTTTTTGTTTCTACTGATGACAGACCAAAACGACACAATATGTGTTGTGATGTGAAGAGATTTACTTGGAGAAATTGGAGGAACATGTATCACACGTGTAAGTGTAAATATGAGAAACTCCCACATGAATATTCTACCATAACGGGAATTGAAGAATCGGTAAATGAAATTTTAATGAATTTGAAAGAAATTGTATTGGGAAATAATCTATATGGAACTTTTGACGCGTCTATTTGTGTCAAAGGTCTTAGATATGTAACTGCTCAAAATATCATATTACCACCTTATGTAGAAATTGTTGATAATACACAACATTAGCTAGTTTAAGATGACTAATTGATTTTTGTATTGGATAACAAATAGTCAAATAGTGAGAAATACCACCGGTCTTTTAGGCCGGACACCTACAATAGTATTATATGATTATTATTTCTGACTAAAATTATAGAGTAATTAACTTGCAGCACCAGACTCAACAATCGAAGCTACTAGTAATCCCGAGGGGGAGACATCCTCTTATAATAGTTAGCAATGTTGAACAATCGAGACATCGGTCTGAGGTCTTGCTAATTAAATCTTTACCCCAGAGGGAGGAGGCTTATGAATAGTTGAACCAGGAGACTATTTTGGTCAAAGATAAACTTTTATTTTCTTGTCTATCGGATATTTATGATTTTGTTATTTTTTTAAAAATGAAAGTCGATTCTAGCATTAATTATTGGATTTGGATGTTTACATATTGATCTAGTTTAATTTTCGTTAACCATAGGAATTGTTATTAATATTAGAGTGTGGAGAATATTACATAACATTAATAAGTTGTATACACCAAACATAGTTCACGTTGAACCTCTATTATGTCCAATAAGTAGAGTTTTATGTGGTCAAATACATCGGAAAAGAGATGAAGACGAAATATTATCCTTATCTAAGTGTAGTTATGAATCTAGTCTCGACATCAGTCCGTGAAAGCTTTTAATCTCAACCCTTTCTTCTTAGTCTTTTTTGCATTTTGGCATCAAGAGGATAAAACGATTGCAAAGAAATCTCTTGATTTTTCTATATAGCTAGAAAAAAGTTTAATTTCATTTCATTGATTTGCAAGTATATAAGTCCTTTAATTGTTTGTGCCTCATATATACACACAAGAAATAAGTAAACATTTGTGTATTTTGATATGAAATAAGAACTCGGTAGAAAGATAATTGCACTATATATCAAGGCGTCATCAATTCGATTAAATAGGAAAAGAAGAATATTTTATTTCATGACTCATAGAAGTAGTGAATCTGTACAAGCTTGATTAAAAAAAATGCCAACATGAAAAGAGAAATGAAAATTGAACGCAATTATGTTTTCTTCTTTTCTCCTATGATTTTTTAGTTTTACATGTCGGCTTTATCCATGCTCCAGGCATCAAGAGTATCAATTTTGACCGTCTCAGTACCATTATTGAAAGCAAACAAATGTGTGTCACCATAGATGGATAAAGCTGGATAAACTCGTGATGTAATACATGTCTTTTCACCAGCACCAAAACTTGCGACCACAGAGTGATCAATCTGAAAAAATAATAAACTACTTGTCAATGCGACAAAAAAGAAAAATGAGTTTGAAATATAAGTTTTAAGTGTATTTTATAGGAAAAAAGTACCAAAGAAAGCTTACCAAGCTCCTTAGTGACAACTTTTTGTCTGTTAGATCAACATCGACATACCCAGCAAATGAGGGTTTGAACATCTTTTTGTGATTCCTAACGCTTGACCTGTCGCAAAAAAAAAATAGAATGATAAGGTTAGCCAAATACAAAAGCATAAAGATAACAAATCTTTTTATAGTTATAATTATTTGATATCCAAAACTCATTTGCATTGCATTAGACCCATTTAATAGGAGGAGCGCTTTTCTATAAGTATTTTTTTCATTTCGAAAATTTAAACCTGAGATCTCTCTAGTTTAAGGGGAGAGATACTTGCAAATAAGAAAAGTGTGATCAATAGACAAACCTTGAGGCATCAGAGCACATGAGAACCTTATATTTGTCTTGATTTTTAAACACTCAAAAGAATACAGGTGTATACTCTTCCAAGTTAGGAGTCCAAATGGACCAAGTCCACCTTGAACTGTCGAACCCCTAATTGCACATACATCTTCGGCATAGAGATCAACCCAACTAGGATCAAATTCTTCTGCATTTTCCAAACTTGAAAAGGAAAATGTAACTTCAACATCAGCCTGTCATTATATTAACACACACAAATTAGCTATAAATTAGTCTTGTCAGAAAAATTTCATACAAAAAATTAATTCAAATCATAAAACATATTGCGTTATTGCAAATTCCATACGAAATGATGTAGGATGTTCTAACATAAATTTTAGTAATTGTTTTGACAACTCAAACATTTACTTATAGGTCACAATAATTTATATATATAGTAAACCAAAAACAAGGTCAAACCTGGGCAGGTGTAATTCCTTGAACTTCTACATTTTCTCCCTTGTTCAATTTATAATTTCTTAACTCGACCTTTTTCTTTCTCAAGGTTTCTAATTCTTCAATAGGCCATTGGACTAAATGTTTACCACTAGGATCAATCCATAATTTACGAGGAATAGCCTGAATTCCAGACCATCCTTTGTAGATGTCATCTGTTGGAAAAACATCGGATTCGTTGCACCATCCCATCAAAATTCTTCGATTCTTGCTAGGATCATAGAAAGTTTTTGATGCATAAAAATTACCATAATCCAGTCTCAATCCGTGATATCCTTCGATCATTGTATCGTCCGGAACATATCTATCTTTTTTCGTGTCATAAGTACCAATTGTGTAATAGTCCCATCTGGTATCATCCAGACTGACTTTCAGAACATGTTTAATTTTTTTGCCAATAACTGATGTGTCCAAACCATCTGTATTCTCCAATGATACTGGAAAAAAATCAACACATTCCCAATTTCCAGTTTTAGCAGCTGAATGGAATGGGTGTTGGGCTTTGGTCCATTTCATGAAGTCCCTACTCCGGTACAATATTGCTAATCCTCTCTTGTTTTTTCTAAGGCTACCAACCAACATTCTCCAACTCCCATCTTGACCTAACCAAGCTGTAGTTGGGTCACGAAATTTGGTCTTGTTGATGCTTTCGTCAGCGACTACTAACGGATTGTTATCAGGTTTGATCCACTTACGTAGAAATGGATCAGACAAGTTAGCTGGTATTGCATAATTTTGTACTTGAGTTTGTTCGTCATCCACTATTCCAGTGTAGAGGATAACATGCTTATTTCCTGGAAGAATAGTGGTTGATCCGGACCAAGTACCATATTTATCGAACACTTCTGGTGGATAAATTGCATGCTCTAAATTGATCCAATTAATCATGTCAATGGATACTGAATGAGCCCAAACAATATTACCCCATACTTCTCCTTTTGTATTGTACTGGTAAAATACTTTTGTATTGTACTGGTAAAATATAGGACAAATTACTTAACTACACTCTTTTACTTACCTTAATATCCATTTATCCCTACTTATTTCAAAATTTTCAAAAATCCCTTATTTACCTATGTATCCTGCATGTATCTCGTACACAACGCTATGTGGAATGTATCAAACGCTATGTATCCCGCATGTATCCCGTGCACAACGCTATGTATCCTGCTATGTAGAATGTATCAAACCTAATGTATCCCGTGCACAGCGCTATGTATCCCGCTATGTGGAATGTATCAAACCTAATGTATCCCGTGCACAACGCTATGTATCCCGCAAACATCATTTTTAAGGGATTTTTGGTAAATAGAAAACTAGAAGGGATATGATGTTATTTAGTACTTATAATATGTGGTTCCTATAATTTATTACCCTTATTTAGAAATGGGAGTTTGGGAGGACCAACATTGCACTAAAGAGTTGGACTAAAAACTATAGAAATTGTACATTGAGGCCCACCAAAAAGATGAACTATTCTTTTTTCCTACTTTCCATTCTCCCCTTTTACTCTCTTTAGTTTATCTTCCATCTTAAATTTTTCATACATCTTTAAAATATTTTGAATTATTAATTATTATGAATTATAATGTTTTGATTTTTACGTAGTTTACAAATATATAAATTTCATTTTAAAAAAATTGAAGATATCATACGCAAATTTATGGTCAAACTTAAACTATTTGATTCTTGAGAAATAAAAAGTGTCACATAAAATGGGACAGACGAAGGATAACTCTCAATTAAATTTATTTCACTTTTTAGTTTCCATTTTTAACATAATTTTTGAAGTTGGATTTCTAGGAATTCTATAGTAGACCCATTTAAATTTGACTTTTTTGTTTTAAATTAGAGAACTTGGCCGCACTTCGCACGATCATTAAAATTAAATATTTTTGATTAATTTTATATTTACTCTGTTGTTTAATCGTAATATTATTATTTGTTTTAACAATATGAAGATTGTGAAAAAAATAAAGCTTCATAAATTTTACATCTATTAAATGAGGAAGAATATATTTTTTATCAAATAAGTTAAAATATATTTGCTAATAACAAATTCTTTCATTGCATGAAGTTGATCCTTTAATATATAATATATATTCCGGTGTACCATTCTCCTTAAATGTGTAAGAAATATCTCATAATGTCAAATAACACTGTAATACTCCCTCTGTCCCTAATTACTTGTCCACTTTTAAATTGACACATTTATTAAGAAATCAATTAATGACATAGTGAGTTTATCATTTTACCCCTATTAATTATGAAGTAGATGAAAAGTTCTGCAATTTTCAAAGTACTCATTTAATTGAGGGTATAATAGGTAAAAAAAATGTTCTTTCTTGATTTGTCAAAATGGACAAGTAATTAGAGACAACTATAAAAGGAAAAGTGAACAAGTAATTAGGGACAGAGGGAGTACTAAACAAATGCATCAGCAAATGAAATTTATATTAAAAATATATTGAATGATGACGCAATGATACCTTAATAGAATTTCCTATCCATTTAAAAAAAATATAAAAAAATCACCCTTTCAATTTCGTTATATCTTCTTATTTAGTAGAAGAATCATCATTTATTATATTCTACTCCACCTTAATTGTACCATCAGAGTTTGAAGAATAAACATTAAATTTTAAATCGAAATAAAAAATCATTGAAAAATGACAGAAAAAATAATAATAGTATATGAAAATTAAAATAAGGTGCAAGAAAATCCTTTTCATGATAATTTTTTAAAATATATTGATAACAATTAAAATGAAGCTGTTATTTTATCTTTAAAATTAAGTTTGATTGAATTGAATTAGTACAATGAGAAAAAATATTAAACTAATAACTTTTTAATGTTATTAAATGCATTTTCTTTTTAATTGAGTAGTAGATTAAAATTTTCGAATTAGGATATTAAAATAATATCTTACTCTCTCCTTAATTATTATGGTATTGCAAACATGTATTTTTCTTAAATTGTGATTCATTTTTTCATTTACAGTTATATCCAATTAATTTCTAATGTATTGAATGTGGTTATGGGATATTGAAATAATATCTTTATCTTTCCTTAATCATAATAAAATTATAATTTAACATTTATTTTTCTGAAATGATAATTTTGTTTTAATTCCTAGAACATATTGTTTACTATATTGAATGTAATTATAATAAAACATATTGTATTTAGTATGACAAATAAACTCAAAAATTGGAGAAATTAGATAAATAGTAATCTTAGCTTCTAAGAAATGTCACATCATCATTTACATATCCAACTTTATATATATAAAAGAGTTAAAAAAGAAAAAAATAAGTGATTTAAGAAAATTATATAAATAACATTAGTGATTAGATGAAGATTAAGAAAAAACGTCAAATAAATTAGTAGTATTGATGATGATAAAAGTTAAATAAATCATTTTTTCTATTATTTAAATTTTAACATAAAATTTCCAATCTTTTAAAATTAAAAATAAAAAAAATTGAGGCAATAATTATTTTAAATAAAAATATAACCAAAATTGTCAGAAAAAATCGATAAAAATAAATAAGTATCTATTACTAAGAATGGTGTCACTACATTTTCTATTTTAACTTTATTGTTACATATGGATAGAAACTTTTAGAAGAAGAAATGATTCAAAAATTTAAAAATAATGATTCTTTAAATGGTGATTCCTTTTCCATTTACAGCTTTTCAATTAATTTTTAATGTATTATATATGGTTATGGATATTGGAATAATAATTTTATCTTTCCTTAGTCATAATAAATTATATTTTAACCTTTGTTTTTGTGAAATGATAGTTTTCTTTTCATTCGTACAACATATTCATTAATATATTAAATGTAATTATAATAAAACATGTTGTATTTAGTATGACAAAAGAATTCAAAATTTTAAAAAATTAAATAAATAATAATCCTAACTTCTAAGAAATGTCATATATATATATATATATATATATATATATATATATATATATATATATATATATCTAAGAAAATGATATAAATTACATTAATGATGAAATGAAGATTAAGAAAAGAAGTAGATGATGATAGGAGTTAAATAAATCATTTTTTATTTTTTGTAAATTTTCAATATAAATTTTTCAGTCTTTTAAAATTAGAAAATGCGAAAAAAATAAAACTAAAACTAAAAATCGAGGCAACAATTATTTTAAGGAAAAAATAACAAAAAATGTCAGAAACATTGATAAGAATAAATAAGTATCTATTGCTAAGAAGGGGTCACCCCACATTTTCTATTTTAGCTTTATTATTACATATAGATAGAAACTTTAAGATGAAGAATGATCCAAAAAAATTTAAAATAACAAATCAATTATGTAAAAATACATGTGTAATTCTTATAAAGTTATAATAACTAATTTCTTCAAATGAATAATTAAATGAAAGAAAAAAAAGTAATTAAGAAAATAATATAAATAACACTAATTATGAGATTAATAGCATTGATGAGGAAAGGAACTAAATATGATCATCTTTTTAAATTCTTTTTTAAGAAAATATATATAAACTTTAATTAAAGATAAATAAGAAAAAAAAAAACTTTAAAGATACAAAAA